AGGAAGGAAGGAAGGAAGGAAGGAAGGAAGGAAGGAAGGAAGGAAGGAAGGAAGGAAGGAAGGAAGGAATACCTTTATTTAAGTGTCAAACTAAAGTAGCAGTAAATAACCACTAAATGGGGACACTAAAAATAAATTAAAATTAACAAAACTATTTACAATTGATAAAATGAGTATGAAATTAATGAGATCATTTACCTGTGCATGATTGTTGAGTGTGGGTTAGAAAGGAAAGAAGGAAAGGAAAGAAGTTTGGTTCAGAGGCGAAAGAAAACAAGAAGCTACAAGGGGTTCTACAAGCGAAATCGCAAACAAATTCAACTGATGTAAAATTGTGAAAGAAAAAAATAAACACACTTCACAGTTCACAGTAATTCGCTTCCCATAAAGTACGCCCATTCGTTTTATTTTCTTTGAATAGAGGAGTCATCGACGTGGAACGCAGAAGGGCCTCTTAAGCTGGTTACACTTTGGCGACGACAACAATGGTCCGTTGTTCCATTTATATACACTGAGAAATTGGTCAGTTGTTAGAAATAATCACTGGTTCAAAACAATGGAAGATGCATTAGTGCTCTAAAATGACTCGTGATTAGTGTTTCAGCACGAAATTAGAATTATTCGTTTCTCATATTTTGTCTCGGAAATTTGCATGAAAGTAGACAAGGCCCTAATCTGGGAAAGATTTGTTCAGGAAAATACAAAGTCATCACTTCTATTCCTTCTTGTACGATCTTCAATCACCGCGCCCTTCCTTTCATTATTGTGTTATATTTTCTTTTGTAATAAACAAGAATAGTTTTAAAGGACAGGGTTGGTCTCGATGTGAATGAATTTCCGCCGCACCTGCGACCGTTCTACAAACTTCCACGAGAGCTAAAAGTAATCTATTCAAGTATGTGGAGTGGACCGTGAAGAGCTGTCATATCATTATTGAAAAACATCACATGAATATTCACCTCTGATATGGGTTAAACTTAACTGTAAAAGATGTAAAGAAAGCCGCTCGCCTATCTATAAATTACTCGTCCAAAAGACGACTGGGCTGTTTGAAAGAGAGCTGGTATCGACATATATAGGGTACGCGGTATTCGCATGAGCTCTAAAACCCGCACATCTCTCAACTCGAAAACAACATTCCGTACGTACAGCGTAATCGAATGACACTACACTATGTTTGCGAGATTTGTTATATTCAGTTTGTTATTCTGCCTTTCACATGAGATATCTGATAAGATTTCCAGTCAATCTTCCACGTTGCTTCGGGGATTCAACTCGGGGGACGTTCAATCGCAAGAGCTGTCAAAGCAAAGGGAGACCGTGCCACGATTCCTTCTCAACTTGTACAGAAAGCGGACGCTTTTACATCGTACTGGTGTAAACCAACGGGAGACCGACGTAGTAAGAGTGTTTTTCCGAGAACGTAAGTGCTCTTTAGAGAATCTCATAAGTTACAGAACGTAGTTGGTAGCCATAAAACGTTTCGTAACAATAATTATAAATATCACCGAGATTTCTCATATTTGTTTTCTTCCTCTTCAGCCGCAGGGAATGGCGAGCATACAGGGCCACTACATCATGGATTTTACTTCAATTTGTCTGTTATAGCAGCCGGAGAAAAAGTCAAGAAAGCTCATTTGAGGATTTACAAGAAGAAACCGCTGGGCCAAAACACAGAAGGGCATTTTAAGATCAGAGTTCTTCGCCTGAAAAATTTCCAGAACAGGAACAGTGGAGTTCTTGTTGCTTCCCACCTTGTAAGTTACAAGGAGAAAGTCGGCCGGTGGATCAGCTTGGACGTCACGGCCGCGGTAAAATTCTGGATAGACAAGCCTGAAGAAAACTTTGGCTTGAGTTTAACAGTAGATGGGGTCAAGGCTTTTCCGACAGATTTTCGTATTGGAGCACATGGAAAAAAGGCACCTTTCTTGGTAACATACTCTCCAAACTCACTGAAAGTGTCAAAGACGCTAAAGAACTGCAATAATAGCATGGTGCCAGAGGATGATGACGACAACGTTTCGCAAAACGCCTCAACGACCACGAGAAACCGTGTAAGACGTTCAAGTACACTCAATAGGTGTAAACGCCGTTGGGCTTACGTACAGTTCAAGACGCTTAAGTGGAACTGGATTATTGCCCCGAGTGGTTATACCGCCAATTACTGTGAAGGGGTCTGTCCACACGTTCTAGACATGCATCTAGAACCGACTAATCACGCCATTTTGCAAAGCATCCTTCACAGAATGGATGGTCGGATTCCATCCCCATTATGTGCTCCGACCAAACTGCATGGCATTAGTGTTTTGTATAAGACAAGCGACAGATCGATCGCGCTAACAGAGTATGGTGGAATGGTAGTGTCATCATGTGGATGCCTGTAATATACAATGGTTGATTCTTAAGACCCGTTTTGATAGATTTCGTGGAAAAATACTGCATTAGTTTGGACACATATTTGGCGCATATAGTATTAGTACAGACGATTGTCTAACTGACAGTTAGAGTCTCTTTGATTTTGCTGTAGCCAAAATATATTTTTTAATTGCTTTTAAAACCCTATAAATGATATTGTGGTTAATTGCTAAGAAGTATAACGTAGGCAGGTGATATTTTCTCGAGCAATGCCTAATTGAGACGATATCAACGAGGACACTTTTGATTCAAGGACAGACCAAAAACAATGAATTGTGACCACATTCTAAACACACTCTAAAACCTACTCGAGCAAACCTTCAATTTTCTCTAATAAGCAAATAGTTCAGATATTTAAGCCCCTAGACAAAACAACGTTACGAAAAATAGACAATTTGAAATTCAAATTTGTGGCTGACATAAAAAAGAAGGGTAGAACAAAGACCTAAAACGACAGAAGTATCTTCTTTGGCTACAAAAATGATTATAAAGAGAGCTGACAACAGGGATCTCAATATTTGCGAGGCGCCAAATTTTTTATGCGAGAAGAAACTGAACGTGTAAGAATGTCTAACCCTGGCGGCAATAATTAAACGCCAACTAATATTTTCTGTTTAATTGACTATGAAAATAAAAAGCACGCTGAGTGAGACAGACGTCGAAGGTCGTAGTGCTAATGTCAACCAGATTCCATCGACCGAAAACGCTTGTTAAAAGTGAAAACGAAAGACTCCAAAGTCTTTCATCCAGAGTATGAGCGTTCTCGAGTAACTTGAAAACTTGAAAAAAAAACTCATCCCTTTTGTTAAGAGAAAACGCATCAAGTTTATGATAAACAGCTATTAATAGGTATTAATTACATGCAATAAGAATACGATATCGTTCATAAAAAACCCTGAGCGCCATCAGTCTTATTGCTGTAGTAGACATTTTGATGTCCGTGGTAATCAAGTGATTACAACGGTATTGATAGAAAAAGTTATTTAATTTAATTTTTACAACAGAAATTAAAAAGGATTTTAGAAAGAGACTACGCGTTCTTAAATAGCATGCATTAAAACCCCAAAGAGACTCATTACATGTAACTTCAGAGTCAATCTCGCCGTCGTGATGTGCTCTACTCGCGCCAATGTGATAATTATTTTCAATCTATTAATAGTTAAGTTATATTCAAAATAACTTAACTATTAATAGATTGATCCCGCGAAAGTCAATATCACGTTGTCTGTAGGTTTGTAACAAATTAAACATTGTTGTTACAAACCGACAGACAAGGAGATATTGAATCTGGTGGGAGAAGAGAACAAAGGCTAATATGGAAGCGACAAGCCCGGAACAGATGAGCATAGCGGGTACATACCGTATATGGTAATTTCGGGTTTTTCTTATGAAATAGAAGGAGGGTTTATTGATCCATTACTGAGTCTATTTTGTTGGCAAAGTTATGTTTATCGTTAAATCAATAAATTGGAGTAATTTTTTAACAGTTGTAGAACTTGACGCCCCGCTTAACGGTTTTTAATAAATGGAGAACATTCGACCTCACGAGCAAAACATGGGAAGTTCACACGCGCGCCCCCAGCCACTCTCGATTGAATGACCATTCCTTGTTATTGTGGTTATTGCTTTCGTCTTAGTGTGGCTGCAGTGGCTGGAAGAAAGAAATAGAACTCCAGCCACCACAAGAAGATGGATAGAAATGAGCGAACGAAATAATTAACTGACGAACCTTATATGGCCTATACTGATCGAGGCTTTTCCAAAACGAAGTTGCCATAAAACGATTTGCCAGCGATACTATCTTTCGTGTTTCAAATTCTTTGGTAGACGCAAACTACTCCTGTTTCGCTGTTTCCCCCTACCTTTGACACAAGTCTTTCCTTTTTCTTGTAGTCATTTTTCAGTTTTCCAAACCCGGCAAGTGCTCCACCCTGATGACTACCTGTTCTTTTATTCTTTGAACCTTCTGTGTATTGCCTTGCAAGTCATACTATCAAGGTCCACCATATCTTTGTTTCTAGTTCCTTTCACATCAAACATCACGAGATTAGCCCTTTTGCACAAGTATAACGGATATTTAAAAAAATGCTTATCACCTAGCTAGCGAGCAAGCAGGCTATCTTTCACTTGAGAAAACATCTCAAAAATGTAAACCATGGTAACTTTATTGTATTGAACAGGGGTCTGAAAGCAACCAAACATCGAAAATACATTTTTTCGAGATGAAATTAAACAAAA